GGGGGGGGGGGGAATAATTGTGGGAACTAATATGTGTGAGAAAATTATGCTGTTATTGTTGCATGAGAAAATACGACGCATTTTTTCATCAAATAGAATATAACGTATATTTGATATTAAAAAAAAGAACACAAATACAGGATTAATAAGGTTTTTTTTTTTTGGGATTTTTACCGTTACGATAGCGCACCGTAGGCATGAGTAGTAACGAGACAGAGTTGTTCGCTATGATTGTCACGATGCTTTGTGAATAAAGCTGTCATGGATCACGTCCAGAAGGGCACTGCGATCCTGGACAACCAGAGAGCAATGCGTAAGGGGGAATGGAACTGCACTTGTGAAAAGCCGAAAAGCGCAAAACCCACTTGCGGATCTGTTCATTTTGGATCGTCGAATTAAAAATCTGTAGAATTTACAGAAAGTTATCTGGAAAAATGGCTTCGAATCTCAGCTCGTTACCGGAATGCGCTTCTCTGTAGACCTGATCGCAGCTTTCGACGTCGTTGTGCCCAGGCAGATCGTTGTAATTCCTTCCGCACAATCGGTTACATTACTTTGGATTAATCAATTCTACGGGATTTACTGTTGCACAGAAGAAGCTTCACTTTTAATACTCAGAGGTGTAAACCTTAAGTACTCAGTATTTATTTACATTGTTACTTTTGGTACTTCAGTTAGCTGTTATTTTCTCATCGTTGCGCTTCTTCTTGCCATTAATGCAGCCCGCAATTGCTCCATTTTTTCGGGTTTGTTGCATTCAATAATTTTGTGTGAGTGCTCAAGTGAACTTGTGCAAAAAAAAAAAAAAAATAAATAAATGTTGAGGTGTTTTTTGAGGAAAATGGCTCTCAAAGTAGCACATTGCATCCAGAAACTGATCCTTGGAATTATCTTAAAACAGACTTTGATAGGAACGGAATCTATAATTTTTTGATAATGTATTGCTGCCGAACAAAAGTGATTTTAAAAAACCTTTTTTTTTCTCTTATCGCGTATTTGTCCGCCCATGCGAATTCCTTCATTCATTAGGTGTGCGTTTTTTTTGCATTTCCTGGAATAGTAACATTGGAGAAGTGATCTTAATGTTTATAATATTTTTGTGTTGAAAATTCATAGAAGCAACTGCTCCGGAAGGGTTTGGAGCAAAAATTGAAGGAGTTTGAAGCAAATATGGGAAAGGAAAGTAACTTGTCCTCAGAACTGGGATGCTCTGATTTTGTCCGGTTGAGATGAGAAGCTTTTCTCGATTTTCCGCTTCAAGTACCATCCTTGTCAGCGGAACGAATGACTTTTTCCGAGATCTTGCCTCCACTGTTGACCTCTTGTTTTTAATAATTTTTAATTTACTCTTTAAGATGGATGGGAGCGGCCATCTGTAACCCCAAGGATAGCTCTCCCGTCAACAAGCATCCCTCCACTTTTCATGGTTTATTCGTGAGATTGCTTGGGAAAAACTCTGGCTGGAAGAGTTTTAAGCATTAACCCATTTATATACATGAAGGCCGATTTCCATGCAGATAAGATGGTGCAGAATTTGTTTCTCTTCCTAGATTTTGAGGCAGTGACCGCATTCTTTAAGGGGGCAGAGGGGTGGAGAGAGACGTGAGGAAAAAGGAAAAGGGATTCAAAATGGACGTTGCATGTTCACATTTGCACGGTATCCTCCAGTCCACATTAATTTGTTTGCTTTTCACTCGCGCATTTTGCTTATTTGATCCCAAATATGTTTTGCATAAAGTTGAGGAATATGTGCAAGATTACAGCTGTGGTATTTTCGCGGTAATTTACCTCATTCATGTTTTTGCGCAATTTTTACTGTGCAGCAACGCTGTATTTACCGCACTTTCATTTCCACCGGTATTGAAGTGCCGTTATCCTGAAGTCCCAGCTGCTACCCGGAGACGGAGTGTACACCGGACTGGTCGACATCGATCTCCATCTTTTTCAGGACATCCCCACTGTGATAGGGCAAGGCGAGGTGTGAGTCCGTTAAAGATTTTGCGGGGAACGACCGGCGATTGGTCGCAGAAGCAGATCTGTTGTCAACAGAAGGCGGTTTTCGCAAATCGTCCCGGACTTATCGCAGATGAACTTACTTGTTCCAAAGCTAAATTCTAATAAACTTCTCGAAATTATCCAATTTTACGTCCCCAGCCTAGCCAGTGATAACGTTGAGGTTGAGAGCTGTTTGAGTTTGAATCGACGACTCTGCGTAGGCATTTGTGATTGTCGATTTCAGTACACACTATTTGTGAGGGGACGATGAAAAGTAGGTGTGTTCTGGCAGGCATGAGTTTGGCGGAGGAAACGGAAGGGGTAGCATGAATCCCAAACTAGTATCGTTGACCACGTGCGCACTTTTCGGAGAAGTCAGTAAGTTTATCACTATTTCAGATCCTACTAATTTCACTAATATTCAATATGACAGCAAATGTGCAATGGAATGTGGACGAATTTATGTCAGCAGAGGTGTGTGTGCTTATGCTTAAAATTTTTTGTATCGGCCAAAAGGGCAATGCAGGATGCGAGTGCGAACTCATCCTTTTAAAGCAGATATCTTCCGTTTAATCCTAGCCGGGTTTGTTGTAAACCGAGTGGTACCAGATCATGATGAAGCTCGTATCCTGGCTAAACTTTATAGGGCCGAGAACAGTAGCCCTGCCTATTGTTCAGTTATTCTTGTAAGGCAAAAGCCAGTGGATATTAAGATGAAAAGGTTTAAATTTTTCCTTTCCGCTCTCCCTATTTCTTCCACCTTTTGACGCTAGTATTTTTTCTCCTCTCGTTCCCCACTGCTCCTTTGCTTCTTTCTTGTTTTCTCCTTCTCCTTTAAGCATTGCAACCGTCACTCTGACGAAGTCCTGTTGCAGTGTTGAGTTTTTTTTGCGTATACGACTTAATGGACCGAGACGTCTTATTTCATTCTTACCATCTGATCTTGTTTTTGATTGCAGTCATCCAGTTTTTGCCAGTTAAGCTCCAGGGCTGACCTGGTTGCCACAGTCTAATTAATAGCAATTTGTACGCATGATGAGCTGGAATGGTTCAGATAGTCTGCGAGGTTTCCATGCCGGAGAAAGTGAAATTCATATCATAGTTATTCGGTGATAAGCCATGTCATATTAGTGTAGCATTAGAATTGGGTTTGGTCGTTGTTTTGAATTCATCACTTTGGTAAATTTGATAAGCCACCGTTCATTATTGTACACATTTGCACCATCGACACAGATGGCTGAGTTCTCGCGAACTTTAAAAAAGAATAAATGGATGTGATGTTGAAAATCAAAGAAATTGGGCTGCAGCAGATTTTTTTGGAAAGATTTCGGTTTTGCAGAGGGGTCACTCTGAAGTCCAGCAGTACTGATTTGTTTTTTAGATTGGATTCCCGCTGCATATTTGTCGCTCGTTGGCGCAGCTCTTCGAAGATGGTTGTGAGGTACCATTCGTTGCACGCTATCGCCGTCATCTTATTGGTGGCGCAACACCGGACGATTTGCGTCATGCGCTTGTGGCATTCAATAATGCAAAGTATATTTACCCGTTTCAGCTCGAATTTTCATATTTTTGTTACCTCTCTTATATTTTTTTATTACTTTTACCATTGCAAGTTGCTATTCAGTTAATAAACTGGGGATTCGGATTTTTATTAATTGTCTGTTGATTCAAGAATTATTGATAGACAGGTGGCTCGCGCTCCATCCTAACCACTTACAATTCAAGAATACAGATGATTTTTGGGTAGCTTTTCCCCTTCCATATTTCTTGCTCCTAAAAAAGTGCTATTTCAGAGCACTGCGAGTGAAGGCCGAGAAGTTGATAAAGCGTGCCGATGCGGAGATTGGGGACAGATTACTGCGAGATTCTGTTAAGAATGCTCTTTCGAAAACAATGGATGAAGGCGAATTGGATGGCATTTTTGAGCCCTTCAAAAAGGCCAGGAAGGGCTCATTGGCAACACGAGCTGCGTATGTCCCTCAGCACAGTTTATATACACTGCTTGGATGTATTCAGCTTCCCACAATCATGTGTTTTCCGCCCTCTCTTGCTTGCTTCTGATGTTTTTTAGCAGAGTAATAGCAGTCTGGTGTTTGTCCCATTTTTTTCACATTTTAAGTTTTTTTTTTACCTCTTCCGCTAAATTTTACATCTCGTATACAGCGTTTTACATTTTTTATTTCGCATAACGACTCTTTTGGCATCACTGTTTATCTAAACACGAACTTGAGATTATAATTCAGAAAAAAGCGAATTGACTGCAAAAAAAATGCGAAATTTGCAGAGAGCTAGGCCTAACTGAAGTCTGTGAAAAATTGCGCCGCGGTGAATTCGTGAACCTGCAACGACTCGTTGGTACCAAGCCAGGTACCGATTTTTATTATTTGTTTTTCTTCCCTATTGAGTTGCCGCACTTCTTTGCACTCCTTTTTGAAATTGTACCAAAATGACTGTTTCAATTTTAAAATAAACACGTAGGAAGCGAAGCGTGGAAGAGTTTCGTTTTTTGCTGGAATAGTGGTGATGACACGGGGAAGATAGCAAACTGAATGTATAGGAAGGAATTCATTCGAATTCAAAATGGTCCGATAAATATTTAGGAACTTTAATAGGTGCATATTGATAGCAAATATTTTGAACTGTCTTTTTATGAAAATCAAAAAACTGAAGGCTCAGGATGGAAACTGCATATAAATTCCTTGAATTGCAAATGGTTAAGCTATTTCCTAAAAACTAATCAAAAAATAGTTGCGTGTCACTAATGTTGTACCAAATTCAGTTACCTTTTGGTAAAAAAGGTATGTGGCAGTTTTTATGCGTTTTTGCCGTGCAGCGCTAGAGCGCTGCAACAGGCAGCAAAAACGCATAT